TCATTTTTGGCGCTAAAAATTGATTCTTCGCTCCGTGAGCAAAATCCAGCCGACAGACATTTCGGGATCGCTTAGGGCATGTTACGACACGTCCTCACCCAAAATTACGTCGCGTAACTCCCAGTGGCTGCTGAGTTATGACATTTTTAGTGGTGCAAAAAACGTCTAAATTAAACCTGTTTAATTTAAAACCCTTGCTAAATTAAACACTGTCCCCCCAGTTCCAACATGTTTAATTTAGACAGGTTTTACTGTAGTCCAACATGGTGCATATTTCCCTTCAAACTTTTGATTTTTGTCCAAGACCAAAAGGTCTTGAATTGTGCTCCCAATGGACAGCGTCCTATTCCATAGCAGATCATATTGAGCAGATTAAAAGGCGAATACACTTCTTGATGCGTAAAGCCGCTTACTCGGTCCGGTCAGCTTTACCGAACGACGCCGGCTCTAATTGCCTCTTCTTCGGTGACGGCTGGGACTACCTTCAGGCGTAACAGGGGAATATAGGGCGAACATAAGCTTGAAAAGGAATCGCGAGTGATTATAAGTGCGGTATGGAAAAAATTGATTCGTAATATTATTTCCTCATAATTTGACCTAATTCTTAGGATTATTCAGTAAGTGCTACGAGTGATGTATGCACGATTGTACCAGAGTGTAAGTTTGCACGTAGACCAAAATCGCGATGTTTTGAAAAGAGAGAGTTTGAGCTGAAGTCACTGTTAAGAGCGATCTTGCTGCATCTATTCATGACAAAGCACATGTATGAATTGAGTGTGAGGCATTCGAAAAAAAAATGGTGAAGCTTTGGTGTGCATACTTGTAGCGCAGGAAGCGATTCTGCAATTAGAACAAAGTAACTAAAAGCTGGCGTACAGATTACTTAAAACTGATGTTTCCAAATCGAACAAATCACAACAAAAGGTCATCGCTTAGATCCTGTCCTTGCCGTGATCCTATCCACATGAAAGCACACTGCACAAAATCTTAACTTGCGTGACGAAGATTGCACATGTATCAGCTGCGAATGAGTCGCGATCGTAAATCTACCATCCTTGTGCTAGACATAGGTTTAGGTTCCTGAACTGAGACTTTTCACCCAACAGCCTTTCGTTTCAATGCCAACGCTCCTACCCCGGTCGACAGGTAGTCACATGTCATTCAAAGGGTAATCCACTTGCTATTTTGAGTTTCTTTGACAAATTTTCTTGAACGATCGATGAGGTCAGGGATGCATCTTTTGAATTTTTTTAGAACCAGATTGTTGCAAGTTTATCTTGTCTAAGTTAAAAGACTGAACACAACGTTGATCGCAATTTATTATTCCCATTTCGTTAAGTCTTGTCGAAGACGTGAATCACAGTGAGTTTTAAGACAGAGATTCAAGCCTTGTTGTAAAAAATGGATCTTGATGTTCTTATCGACAGAGATGCTGGTCTAGTCACGTTCTGACTCTATATACCCGTAGATGCCAGCTTATCCTGATATTTCCGATCATAAAACTTGATGTTTATATACAGAAGTTCGGAAAATGAGTTCAGCAGGACTTTGAACCAGTTTGATTTTTGTCGTCAATTCCATACCAACGTCCTCGCCGAGTGTCAAAGGCTTAATCCTTTCCGTGATGCAAGATAATCTCCACGTCGAATCTACGAATCACTGAGCTGGCCAACTAAACGAAAGTTGCGGGTGTGATATGACCTTACTTGACTGGGCCCAGTCATGATCTTGTATTTCACGCACTCTGTTCCTCACCAGATTGATTTTCAATTTTTCCGTTTGGTCTTTGTGTGCGTCGCAGAATACATATCCTTGTCGCTTTTGCTTACCTACCAATCTTCATCGATGGGGTATTTTGGAGATGAGAATAGGAATTGATTATTATCTTTCACTGAAGAAGTATGTCGATTCTACCACCCTAGTAAGTACTATACGCCTTGATTGTGGTGCCCTGCTTATTTTCTACTATTGCTCATACTTTTTGTTTTTAATCTATTGCGTTTTACAGACTGTAACCAAATCGCTGTTGTTCGTACAGCGCATCCTGCGGTCACACTAACTAACCATGCAAAGTGCCAGCTATCATTTTATCTCATCGTATACATTAAATATATTGAAGCAAGCTTCTGTCGTTAATAGTTGCTGGGGAGGTAACGGCGTTTAGAAGTCGTCTGCCGGTGCTACTGATCAAACGTTAGAGTGACGTATGAAACCTCATTATTTAAAGATACATTTAATACCAATCAAATGAATCACAAGCTAGATTACGTGGTACACATAGTTACAGACACGGTTCGTGGTTAGGTCTTCTTTTCACATCGGACTTCTATCTTTGAATAAGCAGAGCAAGGTTTTATTGCTACTCCTCAAGGTTTTATCGCAAGTGTGCCAAGCCTTGAGCTCTTCAGTCAGAAGAAGGCGTACACAGAGGTACCACGCAGGGGGTCAAATTTGGAGTCGAAGATTTAGGAAATACACTGATAATCAGATACACAGGGGAAGAATGAGTCGTGAGGAGCGCAAGATGGCGCAGATTATCGCCAGCATTGAGCGCATGGAGCAGGAGACACGTGCATCTGGGGACGATTCAAGCCGGACACAAGAAGCTTCGGAATCGGTCAGGCAGGGCTTTCGCGGCAAGAAAACTAAAAAAGGCAAGATTATTGGCGTTAAGTTTAAAAACGATAAGAAGCTTAAAGTGACAGCCGTCGTAGAAGGCAACCGGATGCCATTTGAGCGCAATCTAACACCCAAGAAACGATGGATTCAGCTTTGGAATGCCCAGATGGACGAAGGAAAAGACGGAGACGCTAGCATTTCCACAATTGTGACGTATGAAACAGCTGAAAACCAAATGTCAGTTTCACCGGCAGTCGCGTCATCACCTGTATCAGAAATAAAGGTGGCCCCTGCCATTCCATCCACATCACTAGCTACAGCAGATCAGGAAGAGACGCCCACGATTACAATTAAGCTAGAAAATGTTTCAATGGAGGCGATTTCTTCAGTTGACTTGGCGCAAAGTGATGAAAAAGAGCCCCTCTCTTCCACCCGTGTCAGTGTGATGAAAAACGAATCGCATGAAGTGAATACTGAGAAACTGCTTACAGAACCCTCCAAGGTGGCGCTGACCCAAGACGCGGTAGCTTCTTCACAATCGTTGCTGACGTTGCGAACAAATTGTGCAACAGCCTCTTCATCATCAGAGCTGCGCGTGGAGACGCCGTTGATGAACGAGTCATCGCATTTGTCCCCTCCAGTGGAGCGGAGTAGCCCCACCACAACAGCATCAATAAGTCCATCGGGTAAGATAAAAGAAACCGACACATCGAACAATAACACAGCTACCGCTGTTGCCACGGCGGCCAAATTCTCTCCTACAACGACGTCGCAGAAGGATTGTGTGACTGAAAAGGAGTTGTCCCGAAAAGACACGGTGTCGGGACTGGCTAGAAAAAGCAGCAGAAATAATCTGGACATTGTAGGTGACAGTCATCGAACGACGTCATCAGGTCGTGATTCCGAACTTGTGAGGAAACGAAGTGTCGAGCTTATCGATCCGCCTATGTCTGAGGAAGCAAAGCAACGAGCTGAGCGAAGGAGGAAGCGGAAGTCAAACTGGGATGTTGGTGATCCACGAAAGGGGGGTAGTCCTGTTGCTGATCCTCCCGTCAGTGCTGCAGCGGCGGCAGCAAACCAGCAATCTTTTGCTAAGTATCCACCCAATCGTCCCTCATGGCGGTCTAGTCAAAGCATAATAGACTTGAAGCCTCAATTTCAAAGTGGGCATCGCCCCTCAAGTTTTTACAACAAAGCATTTAGTTCAGCCAGTCGACGTGGTTTTTATCATTCGAGCCCGGTGTCTCAGGATCGATCCAGAAGCGCAGGACGTTCTTCTGCGCGCCACAGCTACGTCAACAGCAGCAGTCACTACAGGTAAATCCTCGGGCAGACTCCACATGAGTGGAGGCAGATATATCTATGATACGCGACCATATTGTGTAGAAAGTAAAGATTAGCAAGCGGGCAGACCAGCAGAAGCGTAAAGCAACGGCATGTCGTCATGTGCAAGTTCATGTATTTTACCCAGTTTGAGTGTCGTACATAGATTATCTGTTACGTCATCGTCGGCACATGCATACAATTAAGTGCTTCGAATGATACATGGCAATGTCCTGCACTCGCTATGTTGATCATGAATGCCTGTTCCGGCTCAATTTTCCCGATCTGCACCACATATCTCCGTGCAGCGTCATCACTCGTTGGAAGCACTGCTCTTTCTGTAACTGGCGTTTCCAACGTCTGAGTCGCTGTAAACATGTCATTGTGTCATAAAAGCAAATCTCGGACGTACCGCGTCGGTGTTTTGTCTGTGTTTGATATGTACGTGATCACGATGATGGTAGTATGAATTAAACAGCAAGTGATGCGCTAGAGAAGTGCACGATGATGGGCTCCTCATCGTCTCGCTTTGGCACACGCTCATCTTTACAATCAGATTTATACAGATACCGGGAATCAAACAAAAAGTTGTCTCTTTTTGCTTGTATGGATATGGCAGACTTTGATACGCGTCGTACGAACACGACAATGTATCGAGGAATTCCGACATATAGTCGAGAAAATCTCTGAGATGAACGCTGCGCAGCGTATCTTGCGTTTGAAGCGCATTGGGTGCTATCTGATTCTAATTCTCTACAGAATCATTTATATACTGTTAAAACTTTGCTTGCGATAGCGAACATCATGTAGCACTTCAAATTGCGTTGGTCATATCGCAAGTCTTGGATGCAGCCCTTACCTTCTATTAGTCGCCAATTTGCGTCGTTCGCAGCAGCTGATACACACATTCGAAAAAATCTTAAAATCTTAATATCGTCATCCTTTCACCGCATCTCAATCAGAAGACCGACCGTCCAAGCGCAAGCAGAGGCACTTAACAACAGTCATCCTTAGCTGCATGTTGCTCTTCTTCATGTCAATTTTTTTAACAAAGATGTCGAGCACGAACACTTTTGATCTGGACTATTCTGTCATTCAGCTGTGATCTCTGTCTTCGAGATCACATACTCGTGAGCTTTGTCTATTCCTCGTCTCCCTTCACTTTAGTTTCGAAATTTATACATCTAGCGACACCCTGCGTTCAGTGTCATAGACCATCCACACTAAAATTTCCGCCTTCGTTGTGCTAGTCTAATGTATCAGAAAACGAATTGGGCGACATAGACACAGCAAGAAAGCATGATTCTTAAGACGATAAAAACACTAGTTTTTTTTTTAAATTACTTTGAAAAAACTGAAGTAGGACTGCGACACATGCTGCATCTATTGTCAAAGCATGTGTTGGTGTAGGTACAATGCGTACACTTCCATGAGCTTCTTCGCTGACTTTGACGGGTCAACATCTTGAAAGGTTCCGACGCACAGTCCACCGTGCTATTTCGCTTGAGATCTCGGCTTCGGGTGTGCAATGCGATTGGAGAGATTGTCGTGTCAAGCGTAAGCTGACGAAAAGGTTTGCGTCCTTTAGCAACTCGCCGTCGTCGTTCTTTTGTAGGAGTAGGACTGTGCGAATTACTGCGAAGAAAGTATTTCCTATCCGGCGCACTTATCTTCAAATGGGTCCGAACTCTTCGCGGGGGTGAAAAGCTTATATTCGCAGAGTGTAAGCGACGGAAGTTATGTCCCGAATGACTTGATGTGGCCCGCGAAGCGCTGAAAAACTGATCTAATTTTGGCTGCGTCTCATCCGCAACATTTGATGCGGAGCGAGTAACTGGTCGGTGAATTAAGCTACTGGGTGCCATAGATATAGATGTCCTTACTTCTGTCGGCGGTGATGACGAAGATGATTGTGGTGACAATGGAGACGCCGCCAGTGACGCCGTAAATTCTGGATCATTTTGTAGGAAATGGATTGTTTGCTCGAATGCGCGCTGCTCTGCTTCGTGCACTTGAGACTGGTGTCGACGAAGCTGCTGTTCGTAGTAGACGCTGAGTGCTCCAGCACTCTCATCGCTCATTGTTCGAGTATCTTCGCCACTATTGTGCAACGGTGGAGCATTTTCATCGTAGAAATCAACGAGCGGCTCTCTGTCGCTCGCAATATCACTCATAAATGGACAGTGGTCTTTAATGGCTGCCCACATAACTTCATCCACCTTATATTGCTTTGTACGCGCAAACCCGACAACTCGGCGTCGACAAAAGCCACAGTTGACGCTTGTTAATTCTAGTCCGCGCTCAAAACACTCCATACTAGTAGATGTCACAAATTAAAAGAATGATATGTTGCAAGCGGGAGACGGTTTCTCTTACCAAAGGTAACGATGACAACATGGCAATTGAATGGGGCGACGTAGCACATCGAGACAGAGAGGACACTGGAATCGAATGGGGATAGATACAGAGTTCATAGGAGGGACCAGAAGCGCCGTCGGAAGCGTCGACGCCGCTGACCTTGTGAGTGCCATAAGACTTGGTTGCCTTGCGTAATTTTTGGTTGTCCGCTGGAAATGAGAGCGCTATGTATCACATGTCGCAAGCACATTAACTTAGAGGTATATCATGGTAGCAAACAAAGCTATATCGTGATACATCTAGATAAAGAGGTCATTTGTATTAGATCTGGCAGAGTTTACACTTAATTGAATTTTGAATCAATAGGTACAGATTTTAATACATTTACTACCCTTCAACCATTTCCGGGTTACATAGTATGCTTGCGCTACGGCTGCGTTGGGTCTCGGGAACCACAGCATTGCCAGTAGCTCGCTTGACTCTCAACTCTGCGCGTCGCACTGCAATTTTAATGTCAATGCACTCGACTTTGTCATCCTCCTCACGTCGATTTCTCGCTTTTCAGCAATTTAAGTCAGCTTTTTCCTCAATCGCTGAACATCCAGCCAATGTATCTCATAAACTGACTGAAGAAAGTCGTGAAAATGTCGTAGCTTTGCTGAAGGCCCGCTGCAATGGACTGTACCATGACAACGAGGCGTACATTGATCCAGCCGAAGCACTGGCGCTCTGGTTGCGCGACGTACAAATGCTGCAGCATCAGTACGAGCCATCACTTCTTGAAGAAGAAGTCACACGTGCGTATGAGAGTGGAGTGGCTATTGCTTCTAAACAGCGGCAGTTTGATATGGCCACAAAGCTTAGAGATCAGATGCAGCAACTTGGTTACCAACCCACGGAACGCATACGCCAGTACTTAATCCGCAACGTGGCGTTGCAGCTCATCAGTTGTACTCGGTACACGCCCCTGGAAGATCTACGTGAATTGATGCAAAATGTAGATAAAGACATTCGGGAGCGCGAGATCATGAGAATCGTGGAGCGTGAAGAGTTTCCTCTACAGCTCAAGACAGACAAGGAGTTTGCGCTTTTTCATAAGCGGCTTATTGCCGGGATCGAGGCGCAATTGGATGAATATGAACACTACCTTGAGGCACAAAATGCTGCGCATTTCAAAGTACTTCGATCAGCAACACCGTATAATGAAGCGCTTCGTGTGTACGCAGACAATGGAGTCAAGTTCTCTCGTATGCTCGAGCTCATGGTAGCACGTGAAGTTGTAGTGGATGTTGAGACTTATGAGGCCCTTCTATTAGGTGCACGATGGAACGAAATTCCAGCTACACTAAATCAGCTGCTAGACTCGAAATTGGTGGAGCAGCTTACAGCTGCATCTTCTGATACCGCGAGTGACCACGTACACAGACTGTGGATTAACGCTATGAGAGCTATTATATACTCAAGTACAGAGCACTTTGGTTCTATATCTGCAAGTGTTAAAAAGAAAGACGTGGACCAGTTGCGTAAATTGTTTCTATTTGTTGACGAACAGATTTCTAGTGCTTTTTCTAAATTCAAGTTTGCAACGACAACGCAGTACGATGAAGTATACACGATGCGAGTAAAAGCTGCTGCAGCCTGCGGTCTTAGCATGCCGGTAGAGACAATTCTTGACGAGTATGTCCAGTGTTCAAAGTCAAGTACCGAAGGTGAAAAGTCTATGCTGTGCAAGGACGTTTTCTTATCGGCTTTGGAGATATACCCCTGGTCCCTAATGGATGTACTAATGCTCTCGCGAGAGTTTGCACTGGCCCGCGCCGAGAGTCATGAAATTGCGACGTCTCCACGTGTGCTAGAGATGCAACAGATGTACGAGCGCGTAATGGCCAGATTGAACAAAGCGCAGAAGCGTGTTGCAGATATAGAGCACTGTATTACCTCGAGAAGCTTGACGCTAGATGAAGATGAGCTGCGCCGGCTGCTAGCTCAGCAAAGCAAAGCGAATCAGGTGATCGATCGGGAATCCAGGAGAGCTACAGCCATCGAGCGACGTCTTAATAATGCGCGTGTTCTAAAAGCAAATCAATTGCTGATCAAGGAGAACTTGACACGAGCAGATAAGATCGTAGATCGTGTATTGTTCAAACTGAAAGATGCAGGCTTTGATTTAGAATTCGATCTCGACGTGCCAATTAGACTTATGGAGCAGTATATGAAGTGTGCTCGACGTCTAGACAAGCGTCTTACGCAGCGGCAGAAGCATGTAAGCCTTCACATGATGGACCGCGTCTTCAAGCGAGTCAATTTAGTCTCGAAAGCCGTGCGATCCGGTGGCATTAACATCCAGGACCCGGAGACTTGCAAAAAATTGACCCTTTTCTTTGAGCATGCAGTATGTGCTGCCGTGCGATATTGGCGGGAAGAGGAGACCGATGCACTTGTACGCAAGCAGCAACAGCTGCTGAAGACGCAACAATTATCTCCGCGCGAGTATGACCAGCTTATATTTCAACGTGTGACAAACCTTGATGTGCGTGGAGCACACTCACTTCTGCAGGAAATGCATAATGCTGGTATGATGCCGTCTCAAGAAGCTATACATCGCATTGCGCTTGGGCTGCTGTACCAGCGAAATGGGTCGCTGATTGATGAGTCTAACATTAAGATTGATGCAAGAGAGAGCGGAGATAAAGAGGAAGAGTTTGACGATGACAGTGAAGCTGGCGATGAAAATGAAGCTAACAATGAAAATGAAGCTAACGATGAAAATGAGGCCAACGATGAAGATGAAGCTAACGATGAAAATGAAGCTATCGATGCAAAAGAAGCTAATGAAGAAAACTATGATAAAAAGACTCCGGTAGAAGCTGAGGCTGCGATGGACTGGGAGATGTCTGCTTTACTTAGTACGTCAGATCAAGAAGCTATTGAGCAAGAACTTGGGCTCGGTACCTTAAAGCTAGATGAAGACAATGATAAAAACCGTGCTGATAGTGCAGCAGCAGCGCGAACGCTACTCTTGGGCTCAGATGCACCTGTAACTGTTGAAGACTTGATTGGCTTCTTGCAAGACTGGTATAATCTATATGGCCTCAAGCCACTTGGCAAAACGGTTGTTCCATTGCTTGCTCGACTTATAGATGACAGTAATTTTCCAGAACTTTGTCGACTACTGCAAATTTTAGAGTCCATGGAGGGAGGTCTGACTCCAGCGACTAATTTGTGGCTAGAAACACGTCTTGAGCGCATGGGGAAGACTTTGGACGACTTTCGTCTACAGAAAAAATCAAAGTGAGCTCTGCAAGTTTTAATCGTTTGAAACTTCTCGAATATAAGCCTTAGAAACATCATATAGAAGAGGTCCGAATTTCGTGCATCACAATAAAATTATAGTGAAAGATAAGATTTACAGTTCAATTTGACCAAGCGATGCCGACAGATATGCCCCTAGCGTTTCCACCTGCACAATATATAGTTATGTCACATCGCACTTTACAAGCCAGCATCATCAACATCACTCAAGCACCTTAGCTTTAAGCAATCCAATTGGTATGTCGATGCTTGAGTAGGCACAAAGTAAGAATTTCTTGCTTGCGACAGTCATTGCCAGACGTCCATGCTACACATATCAAAGAGTTCTACTTAGAAATGAATCGCGCAAATAAATGGGTCTAGCATCGTCGCGCTTGCCTCTAGCTCAACGAGCATTGTATGAAGATTTCCGGAAGGGTAGGCCTCTTTCCCAGCGTGCAGGTATTCGCCCCATGTATGAGTAGCGATTGCTCCCACGACCTTGTGGTCCACATCCTCTCCTCCGCCGACAGATCCAACAAGTGCACCCTCAAGCGTCACCAGCCTGAACGATAGAAAGGTATTAGAGGACAGTGCAGGAAAAACGTTTACTGCTGCAAATTGTAGCCTAGGCAAGAGCAGTAACCTATGGCTTTACGATTTAAAATCGACAAAGCTTGAAAAGTACCACCCACATGCATGCATTGATCCCATCGCCCACGATCTGGCCTAAGACTTCCGGCAATACTTTAGCCCGCAACATATCCACTTTTTATTACTAGAGTAGGACTCTTAAAATCACACAAAATCTACATTTGCAAAATTGATGTTTGTTTGAAATTATGGCTTTCAACGAATCGCGGCAGAAATAGATCGTTATATGTTTTATCCGGGCAATAAAATTTACGAAAATACTACCAATAGTCTATTTTACAGCAACAAGAAGATTTTTTAAGAATTTTTATTGTAGTGCACTACATACAGTACAAAGTCACATTACAGTACTAGTGAAGACGATGGGACTCATTTAAAAAATGAATCATGATGTTGGCCTGGAACGGAAGTGTTCGTTCGCCTTGGTAAGGCTTTGATACTTAGAAGTAGCGGATTGCGATCCGCTACACTTGTACTGGTTCTTGAAAAGAACTCAAGGTCGGTGACCTTAGCTCAGCTCCCTCTATGGAAGTGTTCGTTCGCCTTGGTAATGCTTTGATACTTAGAAGTAGCGGATTGCGATCCGCTACACTTGAACTGGTTCTTGAAAAGAACTCAAGGTCGGTGACCTTGGCTCAGCTCCTTCTATGGAAGTGTTCGTTCGCCTTGGTAAGGCTTTGATACTTAGAAGTAGCGGATCGCGATCCGCTACACTTGTACTGGTTTTTGAAAAGAACTCAAGGTCGGTGACCTTAGCTCAGCTCCCTCTATGCAAAGTGCTACGGCAGCCCCACTGCACAAAGGAAGAAGAGTACGATTGCCTGGCAACTGAGCACCAACATGAAGCTTGCAGTTTTTTTTACAGCTGCTGTTTCAAAACCTGCGTTGTGTGCGCCCTCTTCTCTCCAGACTCGAGGCAAATTGTGTCAAGCTCCAGCGAAGATTCGTCCGATGAACCACATGTGGGAAAATCTGTGCCAGAAACCGAGGTGTAAGAGTGACTTTGTTTCTGTCTTCTGTACCAGAGCCAATAAAGACACGGTAGTTTAAGTCAAAAATTCAATGGACCGACCCTAAAATTATGGTGTATGTTTCATCGATATCACAGTGACACAATATAGCTGACTTGGCACCGCCGGATGCCAAAAGTCTTTTGAATGAGCGAATTCTTTGGGATGGCGAAGACAAGCCATCAGGGGATTAAGTCACAGCTCAGAACACATCTTAATTTTGCGCATTTTTTATCAGCGGAAGACATGAAAATACCCGCCTTAGATACAACATGTTCAGGCTTCATACACCAGTGTCGATCACGCAGAGCAGTGCGGCTTTTTTGTTTTGTGTCGATAAAGACTGCTGTAATGAATTATGTTAGCGGCGTAATCAAACGTTCTGTAGGTCTACCCAAATATTCTCCAACAAAAGTATTTGTGTACAAAGAAATGAGAGACGAAGTAGCCACCAAGATCGTACGATAAATCCCGAAAAGTAGAGGTTGAGCTCAGCGATCGGCATGGACGAGTCCACTGTTGTGGACAATTACATAATATTGAGCTCAAGGCGTGAAGCAGCTAATCTTCGGATACCATGGATTGTTATTTATACCTTATCATAATTTTATCGTGTACTACAAATCACGCATCTTGTCCTCGTGTTGAGTCCCTCACTCGACTTGGTTCTACGAAACATGTACGGCTTCCCATAAAAACGGTCTTATCATCTATACAGACACTCCTATTGGTGCAGAGAACGAATTAGGTTTGGTGAGATCATACTCGGCGCCAAGTTTTACAATACACATTGTGAGGGTGAACTAAGATAAATATATTCACCCTTTAAACCTCCGCTGAATAAACGTTGCCTTGATTTGGCTACAAAAGATACCACAATTGGCGGTCCAAAGAGCAAAAACAATCGCCTAAAGACGTTCATCAGCAATAAAATTGACATATTTGGAGCATCTAGATAGAAAGTCTGTCGATGCATCACAGGCGCCCACGAAGCAAATTAATGGGAGGCCGCGTATGTGAAGCGGCAACCCTTTCGAGAGCAAATACAAAAATGCACACCCTCTAGATACGAAAGCTTGAGATGAGCATGGGTTCGATCTTGATTCAGACGGAGCACCAGCTGTTGCGCTAGCAATTTTCTGGTAGGTTGGGCACGCGTGAAACAGGTGCACAATGGTGTGAATTCCCATTATAAAGGCATTCTGTAGTGGATACGACTCACGGATCAGACGTCGCGAGAACTCGCACTACCGAGTTAGGCTTACCGAGTGCGGTGGATTTCTAAGCCACGAGTAGGGAATAAGCCGACTATGCCGAAAGGCTTAAAACTCCCAAAGTCAAGAAGTTAGCTGACCCACTTCCAGGATCAATATAAGTTACCATCCTCACGGATGGTCTACGTAATCGCACCAATGCCTTCCGCATAAACCCCACCACTTTTCATAAAATCGTAAAAATTGCATTATATGCGCAACACTGAATATCAGCAACAATTTGCGCAAACTTCTGAAAGGATGCGGTGCAAAACAACATGGCTGGGTAGCCCATGGTATACTTACCAAATGCTTATGACAGACATTGATATCCCTCTTACTGTCGTGGGTACCTTAGGCGCGATGCTTTGGGATTGTTTGTAATGTACGATGGTCTGTATGATAATACTGGCGACGTTCAACAGATCCGGTTTGCGATGACTTTTGTCTTGTTAAGAATCCTTCCTAAATCATGAATTCAAATGCAGCACTAAAGACAATATGGCGGAGGGATAATCGAAGTATACCCATTTAGCAGAATTTTGATGTGGGTGCCCGCAAACGACTAGCGTCAAAATAGGCTTGATGGAAAGCACGATGTGCCCAAAAGGCTGCCTCACTAGATTACATACTACGTCTATCTGTGCCAGATCACAATAACTTCGATGCAGCGCCGCACTTGGTAGCACTTGTAGTCAGTCAATGGCAATTAAATCGCATCGAAGACGACTTGCGCCGAGTACAAGCGCGGTTAACAGTCGCTTCTAACTTTGAGGTGTGATGGCGCAATCGCCACTATCGGACTTGGATAATGCTCGACTTTCACGTCGAACTGCGCTTTTGCACGTTGAGCCAAGACATGGTATCAAACGACCAGCTTAGGCAAATACTGATTGCTATGAAGAATCCATTGACAAGTTAAGTCGTCCACTTTATTTGCGTTACTGTAAAATTGATCGTTGTCACGGGTTTCGCGACAGACGTGATGGTGCCACCTTAAAATTTGACGAACTCTTCAGTCGAAAGGAAGCTCGATTGAACCGCGTATGTACCGAAAACCAAGCAATCCGTTCTGGAAGCCGTCTAGACAATCGACATTCAAGTCTGGGCATGGTTTCATGCAACAGAATCCGTCGATATAACCGTTTGCAAAATATAAATTCTGCTGCACTTAAAAACGATACACGATATGAGCTTTCGGTTTGCTCATTTCATAGCTCAGGATAGAGTTCACTCCGACTAGCGAAGTACGTGCGGTCATTACTCGAGTTTAGGAGGGATAGATAGGAGAGGAAGGGGCAGTTCTTCTACGCAAATTTTGTCTTGCAACCGCTTCAAACGCATAAAGAATTTGGATAGCCGCGAATGATACGACTACGAGAATCCTACGAGCTCTCGTTAGCTGGACAAATTAGCCATTTTACCAAGGGCTCGCGGACACTTCTCTTCGCCACCACGATCTCAACGTGGTAGTATCGATTTTTCTGCCGATTTAGAAAGAGGGGGTGCTCAAAGAGGGAGTTCCCATCTGCTTCTTTCGTGACTGCCTTACAGAATTTTTCTGTTGTGGAATTGCGATTGACGAGGGTGGAAAAACTCCATTTGCTGGTGAACCGGCAGGTGATCGAGGTGTTTGGCCGGGTGTCGAGGGCGCGACAATGCATGAAGGATATTCGACGGGTCGCTTGCGAAGTTTGCTATCTCGCATGCGTCATGAAACTCGCCTGGGGATTCAACCTAATATTGAATACAAACTTTGAGGCAAGCCCTGCAAGTTGTCCCTCCTGCTGCCGCTGATAATGCGGCGCCTCCTGCCACGGAACTTTGCTCTGGTACGAGTGAATATGCTTCCAATAGTAATATTCGACGCGATCAGTAGCCATCTGTATCTTGTCGAGGTTCAAACTCTCGCAACCGTGCATTTGATTTTGAAGCTCACGATTATCCTCGTTATTTTGTGGATATTACTGAGGCGACGGATCAAATTTTGACCACTCGCGGAAGTGGTAGCTCTGAAGCCATATTATGATGACCCTGCGTTCCATCAAGGTTAGAAATCGCGTCGGCGCAATAATAGGGCTTGAAGTGCTCTACGTAGAATAACGAGTGTTTTAGTCGGCGTCGCAGGTCAAAAGTGAATGCATTTCCCTGGCATGAATCGACCGATAAAAGGAGGTAAAGCTTCAAATTCCCAAGCTGGACATCGCATCATGTGATAGGATCTTCGTACTATTTAGTACACTTTCCCAACAGTAAAAGACATTTTGCTCCGACAACCTCGTCTATCTGCGTATTTCCTTTGTAAATTTTATGCACTGGCCATTGCATCTTACAATCGTGCGATCACATTCATCCGAGACATGATGAATCAGTCAAGGGCGCCCGTGCTTGAGATTCACATTCGCGTCATCGGTTGAACAAATTTGCGAGGTAGCGATTTGCCAAGCTCCTTCCCCACTTACATCAGAGACACCATCCATCGCACAAAGCGGTTTCGCAAGTCATTCATAAGAAATAACGTACATCTAGTGGAAGGATGAGCCGAATTGCTCACAGCAAACTCTACCCATGGCATCAATTAACTCCATGTTGCGATATATCCTGACAAAAGCATCTCAACATATCGGCGATCACTCAGCTGGCACGATATGTTTGCCCATCAGTCTCCGGTGGACAAATCCATGCGAGTGCAACCCGAAAAAAAATCTTTTCAAAAGCCACTGACGAATCGTGTATCAGGATCACTGATAGAGGCGTCTGGCAACCCGTGATTGCAAGAACTTGATAAAGGAACAATTTAGCCGATTATCGACATCGATGGAATCGCTATGTGGCGCGATGCGAACCATCTTGCTTAGTCTGCCGACGAAGACGAACACTCCATAGTGACTATCAGTATTATCAGGGAACCCGAAGATAAAGTTGAGAGCGCCTGACTTCCAACAGTCAATAAGAGAAGGGAGATTA